CAGACAAGGTCAAGGCCATAGCAGCATGGCCGACGCCCCGATCGCAGAAGGATCTTCGAAAGTGGTTGGGTTTGGCCAGCTACCTTCACAAGTAAAGCGCTGGGTACGCGGGCTTCGCTAAGCCCTTGTCGAGCCTCCTTCAGAAGGACGTCGACTGGCGCTGGGAGCAAGAGCACCAGGATGCTTTTGACAGCATCAAGGCCAGTCTCCAAGAGGCCCCTGTCCTGGCTCTGCCGGACGAGACGAAGCCGTTTAGCGTCGTCTGCGATGCCTCCGATATCGCCATCGGGTGTGCATTGCTGCAGGACGACACGGCTGGACAGGAACGAGTCATCTCATTCCAGTCCAGGCAGCTCAAAGCCGCCGAGCGGAACTACCCTGTCCATGACAAGGAGCTCCTGGCAATGAAATATGCCCTCGTGAAGATCCGTGTTCACCTTCTGGGCTCTACGCCCTTTGTGATCTACACAGACCACGCGTCCTTGAGGACGGCGACTAACTCGCCTCACCTCTCCAACGGATGGCGAGGTGGCTGTCCTTCTTCGCGGAATATAACTTTCGCGTCGAGTACAAGCCGGGCAAGCTCAACGTGCTTGCGGACGCCCTCTCTAGGCGTCCCGACTATGAGTTGGCCCACATCACGCGGGTGACAACGGATCTTTATGATCGGATACGCATGGCGTATCGGGACGATGAGGCTGTCGCGCCTATCGTCAAGTTCCTTAAGGCCGGAACGAGCGCGAAGTCCGATTGGCTCTCGTCGCGACAGCGCTCACGGCTCCACCGATATGAGTTGAAGGAGGGCCTCCTCTATTATCGGGTGGAGCCCACTGATCCTCCACGGGTGGTCGTACCCAACGACGAGGATCTGAAGTTCGACATCCTCGCGGAGGCGCATGACGCGCCCTCCAGCGGCCACTTGGGCCGCGAGAAGACCTTTCTGTCGGTCTCTCAGTCCTTCTGGTGGACCCACATGTACAAGTGGGTCGCCCGGTACGTCAAGACATGTGAAACATGTCAGCGGGTTAAACCCGCAGGGCACTCTTCGGCTCCACTACAGAGCCTGCCCGTACCGGCTGATTGTTGGAAGTCGATGAGTCTTGACTTCATCTTTGGGCTTCCCGCCGACGGACACGGCAACACCGGAATTTTGGTGTTCGTGTGTCGGCTGAGCAAGATGGTACATCTTGCTCCAGTTCCCGTCACTGTGACGGGCGAACAAACCGCAAGATTGTTCGTCGATGGCGTGTTCCGCTATCACGGTCTCCCGGAGACGATTGTCTCGGACCGAGACCCGCGGTTCACTGCTGCGTTTTGGAAAACGCTGTTCCCTTTACTGGGAACTCGTCTGCAGATGTCCACTGCGGATCATCCGCAGACAGACGGCCAAACAGAGCGCGTCAATCGAGTGCTCGAGGACACTCTGCGCAGTGTGTGCGCGGCAGCGCCACGTACGTGGTCGACGCAGCTTCCAGTTGTTGAGTTTGCGCTCAACAACGCGGTGCACGCGTCCACGGGGTTCACGCCGTTCTACTTGAACGGCTTCCGCCACCCCAGAGTGCCTCTCACTCTCAGAGGAAACACTGACTCCTCTATTCTAAAGTGGAGGAGAGGCTCGGAAAAGCCCTTTCCTCCCAGGTCTCGGATGTGAGGCCCAGTTTCGCTGCGGAAACAGGTGGAATCCTTTATGGATACCAAGCTGAACATTGTCAGCCGGGTCTGCGATGCCATGGCAGCGGCTCAGGATAGACAAAAGGAGTACTCGGACAAACATGGAAGAGGAAACTTAAGTGTATTTAAAGTGGGGGACTTAGTGTTACTAGACACGAGAAATCTACGTCTTGACACTGTCAGCCTGGTCGGCAGCAACAAGCTGAAGTACCACTTCATCGGACCATTTGCAGTCCTGGCCAGACATGGTGCGTTGTACACCATCGACCTGCCTAAGTCAATGACGACGCACCCGACGTTCTACGTTGGACGTCTTAAGCGGTACTTTGATCCGCAGGGGGTTGCTGACTCGCAGACCCACCTTGACCCAGCTCCTCGAAGCACGGGCCGGTCACAGTCGTCGACGAGGGCGTCGGAGCAGGCACCCAAGCCTCGGTCGAAACGGCAAGGCTGCGGTCAAGACCGTACGCCGGAGGGGCTCCATACGAACGGACCCCGGAGCCATACGCCGAGTACGCTGAGTACGCCGGGTACGCACCATACGCGTACGTCTGGGAGTGTGCCACAGGCGGCTCCGGACGTGGCAACAGAGCCTCGATCCGTCGGATCATGCGAAAGGCCTCGTCCAGATCGGACGAAGAGGCCCGGCGATCCACCCGCAGATGCAGGCTCGCGACCTCTCGCTCCGACAGGTCCAGGCAGCCCGCAAGACGAGCGAGCTCGCCCTGATTCCAGGCCTGGGCGGCAGCATCACCGCCAGTCCCAAGGCCAAGTGCAGTCTCAAGCACAAGGACACGTTGACGGAGGCGGTCCACCTCAGGGCCCTGTGTCGGACCCGCAGTCGGAGCACTCGGACGAGAGTGGCGTTCGGGAGGCGCCGAGTACTCGTACTCGTACGAGGGCACCTCCGCTCCTGCTTGACCGGAATGAAGAAGTCCACTTCCACGTGGAGCGGATCCTCCAGAAGCAACGGCGTCGCGGTAAGCGACATCTCCTCGTGAAGTGGAGGGGTTATGCCCACTCCGAGAGCTCGTGGGAGCCGATTGACGGGCTCCTGATTGACTGCCCGAAGGCTGTCGCATTCTGGGAACAGAAGCGGCGGCAGCTTCATAAGTAGTCCGGGGCTTCTTGCCCGAACGGGGTACGGACGATGAATACATCCCGTACCCGCGCTCATCGTGAGCGCTGGAAGCCGCGCGCTTCAGGATGTCCCTTGGCAGCATGCGCTTGCTGACCATGTGGGCAAACCGAACACGAAGATCACGCTGGTCCAGGATGCGGGGAAACAGCTGATCTTCATGGACCTCCCGTAACTCCGTGGGTGAGTACTTGAGAGTCTCCACCCACGCCCAGAACATGTCCTCACAAGAACTCCACGTGGGACAGTTCTCCGGCAGAGCCCAGGGGTATCCCCAAACAGGATAGAGACCACCCCGGGTCTCGGGCTTCTTACGACAAGTCGTGAAGTCCTTAAGGGGAATGCGGTGTGGTGCGAGAAGCACACACCGAGCAGCCTCCACGTTGTCGACGAACAACTGTTCTTTCTGAACAAGGGCTCGTTCATAGATGCCCCTAGAAGTGTGGCCGCCCACAAGGCCACGAGGAGCGACGAGAAGCTCTAAGAAGAGGTCAGCCCCAGAGCTCTCCTCGGGAGGCCAATACCCTCTTGAGTTGATGGCAGCTCCCTGGCTGACGGGTGCCGCCACCGAACCCCCACGCACACGCTGGGCAGCTTGGAAATCCTCCTGCTGCTGGTCGAGGTCATTCGAGACCTCCCGGGGCTCAACAATGGCACCCTCCTCTTCCTCTTCTTCCTCCTTCTCCTCCTCTTCATCCGAGGAGCCGAAGAGACTCTGATAGGAGCGTCGAGTCTCCTTCTCCTCGCGGAGTGGAGACTTAGAGGCGGTACGCTTCTTTGAGGGATTGGCGCCTTCGGCTTTAGAGGCCTTAGCGCGCGCAAGACCCTCGGCAAGCGAGAGACGTTTGCGAGGACTCCCTTCCTCATCGCCACCGGCTTTGGGAGTGCCCTTAGCCTTAACGGCCGGACTCTCAGAGCGCACAGAGGTCCTGGGACTGTGATCACCGTGATCACTAGCGGACGACTGCACGCTGTCTTCTTTGTGCTCACTGGGCACTGGGCTGTGCCCTCCCACAGAGCCCGCAGGAGCATCATGAGTGCTCTCGGACTCGGCATCGTCCTCACTGCCCGAGTTGAGCTCACGTTCTACGAACCGAGGGTTCGGACGATTGTCTGAAGACGAGGGCGACGGACTGCGGCGCCTGCTTGCGCGCTTGTCCGCAGCCGCGTCACCCGAGGATCCGATCGCCTCGGAGGCCACCTGAGTAGCCTCCTTAAGTGCAGAGCCTTTGCCGTGATGCTTAGTGCTCTTGGCCTGCGCCTTACCGGCTGCAGCCTTGGAGCGTGTCTTAGCACCGCTCTTAGCAGTGCCACGAGGCATGTTAACGGTCGAAGTGGAGACCTTGACGTAGAGCGCACAGGTTGCTGCTCGAGGCTCTAACTGTGAAGTGAGCCTCCGCCGCGCTCGCGCGGCCGAGTCGATGGTTTTCGACTTTGAGAATGAGAGTTTGTGACGAACATCTCTTCATTCTGATTGGTCGGTAAACCGAACCTAAGTGGGGGAGGATGTAACGGGGTACGTAGCACTAAGTGTACCCTGGTTACATGAAGTGTGACACTTTACACTTCATGAGTATGACATGTCATACTCCGGGATATTTGGTACAAGGTACCAAGGTCATTCAAAACCAACCATTGGTTAAATGACATTGCATTTCTATAGGTAACTGATAGTTTGTATTAACCTCAAACTTAACCTACCTATAAATATACTCAGTTTACAATCTACCTTATTTAGAGGGGACCTGTGAACTGCCATTCACTGAGAGTTTGTATACTCTCGGAAGATAACTTCCTCTAGCGCAAGGTGCTGTGTGACCCCGTCACATGAAGTGTGACACGTCACACTTTAGAAGTATGACACGTCGTACTTCGAGATATTTGGTACAAAGTACGAAGGTCGTTCAAGGCGAACCATTGGTTAACGACATTGCATTTCTATAGGTGACTTATAGTTTGTATTTAACCCAAGCTTTTTTTATCTACCTATAAATATACTCAGTTTACATTCTACCTTAATTAGGTCACTTCGCTCTCTTTTAATAAAGAGAGGACCTGTGAACTGCCGTTCACTGAGAGTTTGTATACTCTCGGAAGATAACTTCCTCTAGCGCAAGGTGCTGTGTGACCCCGTCACAGAAATGGTGATATCGACGGAGGAGAACTTGAACTTTTTCGCTGCGTCTCACTTTCATTGCTGCAATATTGAAGTGAAAACACTCGACAAAGACTGCAAGGTAGTCTCCACGTATACATACGATGTTTCAGGAGCAAACTAAACGGTTTGTCTCGCTCGACTGGGGCCTTACTATACATTGAGGGTCGATGGAATGCACGTATAATAGGTGTGACAATGTTCACTTCAATTTCCTCCGAGTTTTCATATACTACTGCAATTGAACGCCTAGGCGTTCTAATGGAATAGAACGCTCAGTGTGCCTACTATTTTATTTGAAGGCCTAGGCGGTTGATGCGGTAAGACGGTAGTAGTTGCTTGGGAAACCCTTTTGTGGTTCCTTTTCATTTTTAAAAAATCCAAAAAGCCCTTCCTACAAAATGATGGGTGGGTGGGTCGCTCAATATACCCAAAACCCAAATAAACCAAAATTTAATTTGGAACACTGCCTCGCGCGTACATGTATATTAATAATAAATTTTTTAAATGAAGGATAGTGAGCAGACACCGGGCGGATTTCACCGTCGTTGTCTGGGGGTACTGGAAATTTAGTGAGCTCACATGCTTCCGATACTTCTCTGAAAGCCCCGCAAGTTTTCGGTGGGAGTGCAGGTGACGAAGACAGGGTGTCGCAAAGTTCTGTTTGGTGTCAGTAGACCATTTATAAACTGCAAGTGAAGGGGGAATGCATGCTACTACGTTCAGCCAATCGTTGATGTTGTCCGAAGGGCGTTCGAACGAAGACTCGCGCATGAATGCGTAGAGCCCCATTTTGCGCGTATTGTCAAAGGCGTCTTCAGTGCACCCTTCGGTGTATTGCGAGTACAGGAACAAGACGCGGTCAAAATCACCATCAGAAGCTGCGCGGTTCATCGCCGCACTGGTACATCCTTCCGTTCGGTTATCATGTAGCCATCTCATGATCTCGAAGGTCTTTGCGTTGTCCATAGCCTTAGTGGTGCATCCTTCCGTGCGATTCTCATGAAGCCATTTGACGACTTGGAGATTGCCATTTTTGGCTGCAACGTCCATAGCTGCTGTACTGCCGCCTTCCTTTCTGTTGTGGTGTAGCCATTGCACTATCTTCAAACGTCCCTTAGCTGCAGCTCCGTCCATAGCGTTTCTCGTACAGCCAGCATTTGTGTGCTTGTGTAGCCACTGGACAATGCCAAGATGGCCATTGCTAGCTACTCCATCCATCCATGGCTTTGGACGTACATCCTTCCGACCTGTTATTATGTAGCCATTTGACCACTTCCAGGTGTCCTCCACTAGCAGCACCGTCCATAGCCGCAGGGGTGCAGCCTTGGAAGCGATGTAGCCATTTGACGATCTCTAAGTGTCCTCTACTTGCAGCGCGGTCCATTGCTGCCGCTGTGCCGCCTTCCGACCGATGGCAATGTAGCCATTTCACCATTTTTAGGTGTCCATTTGCAGCTGCAAGGTCAATGGCACGTGTCGTGCAGCCCTCGGATCGATGAGTATGAAGCCATTGCACTCATTCACTTAAATGAGTCGTATTGAAGAGATCCATGTGGCCACTGAAGGACTCGTACAGCCACTTGACAAAGCTCTTTTCATGGCTGTACCCATTGTCTTTGATGAGACCCACAGTGGCGGGGCACACTCACTAAGTCCGACAGATGCAGTCAGAGGGTAGAACCGAGAAGCAAACAATCTCTGGCCAGTAGACATTATATAAGGCCCTCGTCTGCAGCCAGCGCCACAGCTCGACCGGCTTCACACAATTCGTTGTCAAGAAGGAACTCAACCAGCTGCTGGATGAATAGCGAAGTGGCTCTCCTTCCGAGTGTAGCCATTCTCAACCAGCCGCCCCATGACTCCGAGATGGCCGCCATACACTGCCCCTTGCATGAATTCTTCCGGGTCGCCTCTTAACAGCCTGTCCACATGCTCTCCAGACATTGTCTCGTCTTGTCCCACTTCAAAGTCCTCGTCTTCAGGATCGGGGTCGAATCCACGGCTACGGTACTTCATGCGTAGCCATTCCAAGAGAATAATGTATCCGTTGCGTATTGCAGCCATGAGTACACTCGTCATGGCTCGAGGTGCTCGAGTCTTCCGATGCAGCCACCAAATGACTTCGTGTTGCTGGTTAAGTGCTGCTTGCACCATATCTCGACGTCCTAAACAGACAATATGGCCATCTTCAGTCTGGATTTCGTCACGCAGCAACTTGCCTCGGTCTGTTCTTGCAAGAACCTCGACACTCTTTTAAAGCTTGAAAAATGTCGAGTCTTCCCAAGGCTGCAGCGGATTGCACCGCGTTCACAGAGAATGATGCAGCCATCGAACTGGTCCAGTAGCCACTCGACCACCTCCAACGCTGTCTTGCCGTCCTTGAGTGTCACTGCGACCGCCATGGCGCAACGGAACTGGAACCGGGTGTAGTGCCGGTCGGTGAGCAGGTAATGGCGTCGAGACCACGTGCCACCGCTGCTAGGAGGAGATTCGTCTTCAGACAGAGAGGCCTCATAGATCCGATCGAGCAAGCAGTTCGAGCCGAATTTGCAAGCTCGACGGAGCTCCATCTCCGCTGCAGAGTCCAGGAAAGCCGTCGTGATGTCGAGGATTTGCACGTGCTGAACGGCCTTGGAGGTGAACACCAGCTTGACGGAGAGGAGAGGGGGTGGCGTTGGTAGGTTGGTCATCCTGATCACTTGCTCAGAGGCCGGGAAAAGGGAGAATGGCGTTCGTTTGGCACTGCATCATCGCTAGTAGCCAGGTTATTCTCACACGTCACAGATTGAAGTTGCAAGTGGTGTGGTTGACTTATAATAGATACACCTGATTTGAGTATGGTTGGAGTACTTGGGTTGGTAGTGGGCAGTTGTAAGCTCTTGCAAACTTTCCTGTGATGAAGAGTGCAGACTTGAAAGCTGAAGAAAATGTACGAGATTTACAATGTTCGCTCTCCAACCATAGTGCGAATCTATTGAGCACAGTCGGCATCTCCTCCACAAGGAAGGTCCAAACCACTGTCGTATTCTCCGCCACCGTGAGCACGGCCCTCTTTATCAGTGAGCGTGTCTTCCTGGGTGAGTGTGCTTCAGAAGAAATATCACGATTTATGAGCTACATTGAAGTTGCCACACCGAACGCCACGCAAGAAAAACTCCGGCGCAGCTCCTAGATGTCGTACGCATCGGTTGTCTGACACTTAAGAAACGAACACAAAGGCGACGTCGAGGAGGTAGTACTGCAGTGATCTCATCGTAAATCTCTGGTGCAGATTTTCATTTCAAAGGTCATTTTTTGAGAACGATGAACTGAAAACGACTCCAGTTGGGAAGGTCTAAGACTTACAGATGCTCGAGAGGACCCTGTGGTAACCTCGCGTGCTTCGTTCTCGGCAACTGCATGATGTACGCGGCATGGCCTGTTCACACCGACTGGAAATGGCAACGTGTTCATCCGAACACGGGTCACTACAACGATACTGCCGCTCACGAAACGGAGATTGATCGCTCTCCTTCTTGTTCTGTCCGCCCAGTGGCCTTTGAAATACACGTTTCGTTTCTGTGAGCATTCTAACAGTCACGAAAACTGGCCACATGGGCTCTTTAATTCAAACCCCCTTCTACCAATTTTATTCTTAGCCCTCATCAGCGACAATTGCTCTAAATTCACTCCATGAAGAGCGAAGAAGTCCTCACCAAATCCGTCATCTCGGCCCTACCTATCAGTCTTCTCGGCGTAAAATGGCGAGGGTTTTGCCGATAGTTTGCCGTTTTGGCTCGATGATTACCAACAGGCACGTTACTTCGAAGTAAAAAGTAGGTCTGCACAAGCTGAAAAGGTCTTAATGATGTGGTTGTAATGAGATAATGCCACCTAAACAGCACGAGCATGCAAGATAATTAGTGCTGGATCTTCTTTGAAGGTGCAAGTATTATCGCTGAAAAGTCCCTAGTTATGATCCATACTGCATGGGCGCAGTTTGATTCAAGACGCGAAAACCTTGACGTAACCTCGTAAAATTGGTGGAAGGCGTGCTGTTACAGTAGAGAAAGATCGAGCACTCTATGCTAGGATTCACGACTCATTGTTTGGATTCAGAGACGTGATACAATAACTTTTTTTGCCGTATAGCTTTTAGATTCACGGTAAGGCTGCGATACGGATCGCCTCCAAAAATGCATTTTTTCAATCCTTTGTTAGGCAATGAATTCGAAAGTATTACTCAGATCTCCTTTTTATTCCTGTATACATCTATATCCCTGTACACCCGCTGACATTGAAGTGATGGTCCGCCCCCATCCTTTGATCCCGCTGTACACTCTCAGGCAACCGTTGCTGTGAGGCGCCTTCCATCACTCCAGGCTGGATGTCCAGCCACCAGTTCCGCCCTCCTTTCCTAGATAGATGGCCTCCTTCTCACTTGGCAATTTGCCAACTCGAGCCACCGCCGTCTGTTGCCACTTCATCAACCTCGACCATCACTCTAATGGCTTTCTTCAAGCTTAAAAAGACCGAGGCCGAGAAGGCCCAGCAGCGCAATCTAAAGGAGCTCGATCGCTTGGCCAAGGCTCAGCGCAAGAACGCGGCAAAGGAGCATAAGGCGGCCAAGCGCCAAGAGCAGAAGGCCCAGAAAGAGGCCAAGCAGGCGCACCAAGCGGTCCAGAAGAGTCACCGCCAGGCTGTCAAGCAGGCCAAGAAGGCAACCAAGTCGCGCATCCGCATGGCCCGCAAGGCCGAAAAGGACCGTATGCGCCTTCGCCGCCGTCAAGTTCAACGCGCGCGGCAAGAAGTTGTTGCAATTGCCGCGGGTGGCGTGCTGGCCCCGCCGTTTTCCAAAAGTGCAGGATGCTACGTGTGCGGCAAGAAATTCGGCCAGGCGTTGCATAGACGTCGCCATCACTGCCGCCAATGCCGAGAGAGTTGTTGTCTGCAGTGCACGAGCAACACGCGCCGGCCAGTGCCGCTCTACGGTCTGAAGAAGCCGCAGAAGGTCTGCGTCGTCTGTAATGCGCTGGTGCTCAATAACGAGAGCACCGCTACTAGTTCCCAGCCACGTGAGCCAGCCGAGGCCGTTGCCGCATTGGCAGCTAGTGGTCGTGCCGCGCGTCGCCCGCATTCGGCGCCACTGCCACCGACGACGGGTGTGACCGTCGCCACGCGCGGCCGACAGCGAGGCCGCACGCGCTCGACGAAGAGCAAGGGTGGATCCATATGGACGCTTCCGATCCGACCCCTCCTCAAGAAGAAGAAGAGCGCGGAACAATTGCGAAACCGTAAGCTGGATATGGACTTGCAGATGGAGAAACGGGCGTTGTTCGGCTCGCGTGGCGTTGAGCTGCAGCCTCAAGCGATTGCTCCGCCGGCGCCGTAAGCGCGAAGATTAAAATCAGGGGAAAGCGGTGCGTGTGTCGTGTGTTGATGCTGCAGCTGCAGATGCATGGGCCAAGTTTGCTGGACGAGCGCGAACGTTGTATTATCCATAGTAAATTTGGAATCCATTTCAACGTTTTTTTGCTTGTTCACTTACGTGCCTCAATTTCCGATACACCATCTGCACACTTGGGTTCATGCAACCCAAGCAACTTTTGCTTCTACATATTAATATTATAAAACACGAATTTGCTAGATCAGCAAGTTCCCGTCACGTGTCATCTCTCTGGCAATCGCGTCAACTACCAATGGCCTTGTTGCCGGGGACGTTGGTTACTTGAATTCGGACAATTTTCGATGGGCATTTGGCACCCAGCACCGTCACCGGCTCGCATTGGCGTTGGGCAAGTAAAAATTGCTTCCTGCACTTAAAATTCTTATATTGCTTGGCATTATTTTACCAGAAGGGACACCAGCCGATGTAACACTGGCAGAGATTTTCATGCGAGGTGGCTTGCGAGATGAGACGCTGCACTTGCGCACTCACATCCAGTGGCTCACCGTCTCCTTCAAAGTCCCGGCCGGACAGTTTCGCCTGGACACGTCGAATGACGGCGACGGCCTTCTCGTTCAACGCAACACGTGGCGCTGCAATGCCTTCGGGTCCCAGAGCGCTCAGCAGCTCACGTTCGCGGACACTGCGGTTGGCATGCAAATCGTTGTTAGCCACTGATGGCGGCACAGTATCCGAGGACGGCGGGATGTGTGCAGCTGCCGTGACAGACACGAACGACGTCGACGCGGCCGGAGCCATTCGTGGTGGGGGGCCCAGTGGTGTACTGGGCGCCTGAGTTGACTGGCCCTTATCAGCCTGTTGTCGTTGTTGTCGTATCTGAGACTGCGCCTGGATCTGAGCTTGAGTGACGGAGAAACTGCGACTTAAACTCGAGTGGCCGACGCTGGATACACTGGCGGCCAACGACGAGATCTCGGCATGTAAGTTCGTAGTCGAGTAGTCGATCTTCTCGACGACATTCGACTCCTCGTTCTCATCGATCGCGTCTTCGCGTAGACGATTGGCTGGCGCACGAGGTGGGAGCTTACGCATCGGGATGGACTTGCTGAGACTCATCGGACGTGACGACAAGGAAGACGGCAGTGGAGGCGGCGCAGGCTCTTCCTTTGGTCGCGGAGGCAACTGACGTGGAGCAGCCAAACTGGCGCTGATTTGACGTGGCACTGGCCGCGGCGGGAGTTGTTGAGCTTGTTGAGCTTCAGTAGAATCCACCTCATACACCTTGGTCTCTTCCCTTGTCTCTTGCTTGTCGTCTTGTACTGGAGCATCTTGTGTCTTGCTGGCATTAGGCCGCGGCTCATCTCGATCGTCTAATAGCGTAGCAGTCGATGAAGGTGTGGGATCTGGGATCGAGATGCTCTCACTACGACGATGTGTTGCTTCCTCTTCGCCTCCATGAGTCGAGGCCTCTGAAGGGCCATGAGACGAAGCTTCCGATGGTCCGTGTGAGGAATCGTCATACGGTCCATGGGAAGAATTATCCGACGAGTACTCCGACTGTCCATGCGACGAAGCTTCTGACGGCTCATAGTCGCTCTCGCTGTCCATACTCATCGCACTGGAAACCATCGAAGATGACACGACACTCGACGCCACTGAACTGCCCGCGTGACTCGAAGACTGCACGTTGGTAGCCGACAGCAGACGCCAATTGATCAACGGATCGTGCACGAAAGCTTCGAGCATAGCCATGAGACTGTGGCGGTTCTCACGCAACACCGCCATGACACTCTCGCACGAGAAGCGGAAGTTGCCTTCGATGCCACTCACTTCCATGGCGTTCGTCAGCATGCGTGTGAGTCGGAACGGGATCTTCTCGGGATATTTCTCTCGATCCATCGCAACCTCAAAGCAGTCACCAAAGTCGATATGCACGATCGTCCCGGTGAAGCGATGCAGCATCAAGTTACTCGGGTGACGATCGCCCAGTCCGAGAATGTAGCCCACCATCGACATGACGGCCAGAGAGCGCGTGTAGTTCGTGCGTCGGTCCAGCCAAACCTCCGAGTTCTCCGACTTGAGCCACAGCACCTTGTACAAGTCCTGACCGGCTGTGTTCTCCAGTGCATACAAGAACACTTCCACCTTCTCCAGCAGCGTTAGCGCGTCGTAGTCTGGCGCCATCTGGAGCATCAAGCGATGCTCAATGTTCAGCAGGATCTTACGCGCCTCACGGTAGTCGCGGATCAGCTGGTGAAGAGTATCACAATGAGGCACCCAGCCGACGATACCGGCGTTGTCAGACAGCGGGATGACCGGGTACCGATGGATCTTGAGGTCTTTCTTGGACGTATTACGATCGTTGATCAGCAACGCGTTCACTAGGCCAAAGAGCTGCGTCACACGCTCGTCCTGACGTAAATCTTCGTGGCCCTTCAGCAAGAACATGTACTCCAGTCCATTGGAGCCCACGATCGTGATGCGACGAGGTCGCTGCTTACTCGTGATCACCGCCACTGTAGGTAAGAAGCTGCCAATCTTGACGAGAGCGTGACCAGCACGGTATGTTCCAGGGACCGCCAGTTGCAGGTTTCTCGCCTGTAGCAAGTTGGGCGACACCACTTGCAGTTCCAGCGTCGTGATCTGTGGTAGCTGCTTGTTGATACGACGGAAGACGTGGTAGTACAGATCCCACGCGCGATTCAGGTCCGATTCGTTGCGGCGATTGCTCAGGAATCGCTGCAACCACTCGTTGGCTTCGCGCAAGTCACGGCCGAACGCCCCGTGGAAGCTCACCTCACGTAGCGTCTCGGGGCCTCGCTCCATCATCGCGTGCAGAGGTCGCAGCACTTCCGCCATGCCGTCCACATTGTGCTCGCCGAAATACAACCGCGAAGCTTCTTCCAGGCCTTCGTGCCACATTTCGTGCCACAAAATGGCAACGCGGATGAGTTCTCGACTCACCAGCAGCGCCTCATCCACGAGCTCCACGTAGTTGGTGCGCATTGTACTCATGATGGCTTCAGCCGCTTGCTGACGTTCACTCACCGACGACTTGAGCGCTACAGACAGCGGATAGATGAGCGCGTGTGGATGCTGCTTCCCTACTGCCACTAGCAGACGATGGAGCTGCTTTTGGATACGCGGGTATGGCGTGTGGATACGAGCGATCAGCTGCGGGATCACAATGAGCCACGTCTCGATACTCACGGACCGAAAACCTTTCTCCAAGGCGGCATGCACGTCGGTACGGTGGCCGTGTGCAAACCACAGCGTCAAGACACGTAGAATATCCTGTTGGACGTTGGCAGCCCAGCGACTGCGACCCAGCGCGACGGAGCGGAAGAAGCCTTCAATAGCCGGAGCGATGTACGGAGCCACCGAAGCAGACGGTGCAACGGCCGATGCAGTCGCGTTCGCCGAGATATGTTGACTGTGTGTCGAGTGCTCGACCACCTGGAAATTCATCAGAGCCCACGCATGCCACGCCTTGTAGCTACGCGGCTCCAGTTCGGTACACAACCGTAAAGAGGATAGCACACTTTCCACTGGCACGTGTTCGATCTGCTGGTCGTGTACTGCCAGCTGCCACTCCGCCATCTTCAAGTGACACTTGACAAGCAGCTCTTCTTCTTCGCTTCTCATAGGCATCATCGCTGGTGCAGGAGATGGCATCCCACCCATGCCACCTGGAGGCTGGGAACGATGCTTGGCCATGGACGAGATACGCACCACCAAGCGATGCAAGTCTGAGAGCGCTTCCTGCTTCTGTCCAGCAGCCCAGAGGTGCTTCAAGTAGGCGAAGGCCACGCGGTTGCGGTCCTTCTCGCCAAATCCGAAGGAAGTGGCTGCTGAACTTGACGGAGCCACACTTAACATCTCCGAGATGCCTGTTCCGTTGGATCCTGAGCCGCCATGAACGTGGAGAGCATTGGTGAACACCTTGAGCGACAGCGAGAGGTTCCCTGACTGCCGACACAAGCTAGCGAACTGCAGATACGTGTCGATGTCTTCGTGTGGCGACAAGATCAACGCACGGACAGCAATCAACTGCTGCCACACTTCCACCACGCGCTTGCAGCCTGACAGACGGTCACGCCACATGCGCATCAAGTGGCGCTTGTATCGCGCAGCTTCTTCGCCTTTAGAGATCTGAGCACGCAGCTTCTTGTACGTCACGACCTCCTCCAGTTCACTCAGTTGCTGCAAAGTCACCATGCTGCGGTATGCGCGGCTGTACGACTCGCCCACCAGCGCTCCGAGTTTCGTATCCAGCGTCTTTCGTGTCGCATCAATGAGCGTCGTTGCCTGGTCAAAGTTGCCGCGGTGTACGGCCAACACTGACTCATACAACGACAACTCCGTGACGTCTTCATCTGCGCCGAAGATCCCGTGGCCGTGCGTGTGGCCGTAGCCGTAGCCTTGTCCATTTCCGTTAGCAGCTCGAGAGATAACTGTACTATTGGCGTTGCTTTTGTCGTTTTGCGCTGCACACTCCGTCACGTACTGCGTCATGCTGTCCCATTGAGACAGACACCAGCTCGCTCGAGCTCCGAGCATCGCCACTCGTCGAAGCGCTTTCGCTTCGTCGCCTCGGTCATCTCCAAGCTGGTACGAAGAAGACGGCGGAGGGCCCCCCGCCGAGGCCAAGGACGAAGACGAGCCGTAGTTGCTACTGCCTCGACGGAGAAGACCGGGATTACCCCGGCCGGAGCCAGCGCCAGCGCTACCGGATGCAGTCCGGCCAGCAGACAACGGGCGACTACGCGGAGGCGGGCCGCTTGCTTTGCTCGGACTACGCTCGGACGAGCGCAACGCAGCCCACACTTGGGTAGCCAACGCCCCCAGTTCCTCCCACATGCCCAGTGCCTCTAAGCACCGCATCTTTCCGATACAAACCTCGATATCTAGCGCCTGGTCCTCTCCTCCTTGTTGCTGAGCGAACTGCAGTCTTCGGTCGTACAATGCAAGAGCTGCGCGCCAGTCCTGAAGCTTCTCGAACCACGTCTCCTTCACTTGGATCACGCGACTGTGATGAGCTTGCGCATACTTCAAGATGCCGACGGCCGCTTCGGGCTGACCTAGCTGGTTGTTGATCGAGATCAGCGCCTCGATACACGTGCTGGGCGACGTATGGAACTCTAGCTCCTTGTAATGCAGCGCCTTGGCATATGCATGGCACTTCTGCGCCAACTCGCCCAGTTCACGGATGTCGATCGGCAACGCCTCCACGTCGTGCTCCATAAACTCCGCGAGATTCAGTAGCGTCTGCAATATCTCCGCAGGGATCGTGTCGCTCTGGAACGCAGTCTCCAGCGCTCGAACCAGATAATCCTGATACTGTTCGTACAGCTCGTTCCAGCAAGACACAAACGCAGGGTTAAACAATGCACGCGCCAGAGGATTATACGCCTGAGCTAGCGCGCAACAAGAACGCAGCGCAGCACTGGGGGATTCACGCAGCAATTCGATCGAGAAGCGCCGCATCCACTCGAGCCAATCTTCCTTCGTGCTGCGCTGTGAAGCTTCCCATGCTCGACGCAGATTCTGCTGGTTGACATGCAAGCGAGCACTCGTTGGTGGGGAGGCCGCTGGAGTCATCGACGTCGCGGTCTGCGCTTGCAGCTCCGTCGAGAACTTTCGTAACGTAGACGTCATGAATGCCGGGTCACTCAGGAACGTCCGTGGGACTCGAGCGCCGTAACGTAAACTCTCCAGCGCCTGAGCGATCCGCTGTACCATTGCTTGTGGCGATGACGAGGGACTGCCTCCTTCAGCATCATTAACAGCCGTCGCGAGATTGCCACGCTGCGAGAATGGCAGCGATGCGATGATCTGCTGCATCAGCGGCTCGAAGCTCAAGACTTCTGCTTGCAGCTGAAATACCAGAGCTCCTAGCGCATACAGCATCACCTCGGAGAAGCGTGTAGCTTCCGATTTGGACGTGGCAATCCGAGCCGCTGCTGCACCTGATGATCCGCTTCCAGACGACCCAGAGATACTCGAGCCACCACTCACAGGGATGGCAGCACTGCTGCTCGAGCGACTGAAGAAGAACGCGCCCTTGGCTGACACTTGTGACGCCACGCGTGCAAGAGGCTGCAGCAGTCTCGGTCCAGCATACTGTTCAAAATTGGCGACCACACAAATACGCGCGAGTGCGTAGACGGTGGTAATCTTCACTTCAAGCGGAGTGTCCAGACTTTCCATGAGATGCACGAGGGCAGGCACCACCAGATAAACGTAATCCTCCACGGCGTCGCCAAACACAATCAGCGCCTGCACCACTTGCACCTGGATCGCTGCCACCGCGACGGCCGTTATGCCATCTGCACTGCCGTTCTGGACGATGTCGTAAGTACTCGACGTGTGGTCGCTGCTTCCACCTGAGACGCTGTCGCCTGCCTGTCCGTGGTCTCCACTTCCTCCAACGACACTCACACTGTCTCCAGAGCCTTGTGTGATTGCTGTTGCGCCGCTAACACCAGCACTAGCTCCAGCAAGCTCGCCGTCTGCAGCGCCGCCCAATCCGAAATGCGGCTGGAGAACTTCCAGTAGTTTTGGCAATAACTTGGGAAAATACTGGGTGCGGAACTCGTGCGGCGCCGCCTGGGAGATCTTCTCGACGAGACGAACAATCTGCGTGAGATGCGACCCCCAGAACCGCAGCGCGAGCACCATGATCGGCGGGAAGAACGGCTTCATGTGGGCGTTTACAATGGAAATCAAAGTCGTGAGCTGCAGGAACAGCGACTCGCGTAGTCGCGGCTCACCACGGGACAGAACTCGCAGGAACGGCGGCAAAATGTATTTGAGGAACGGCACACACTGCGTGCTGAGACTCTTGAAGATAAACATAATGGCCTGGATGACGCCGTGGTGGTGCGCGTTCAATGACGGCTCGCGTAGAATGCGCAACAGCGCGTGGATAGCAACCGTAGGGAAATAGGCCTCGGACGCTGGCGACAACTCGGTGGGGTCCAGCTCCAACTCGCTGTCCATCAGGGAGCTCTCAAAGTCGAAAGAGTCGTCACTCAGACTCATGCCAATCGAGCCTATCTGTCGCTTCTTAGAAGAAGACAACGACGAGGACGAAGCTCCAGCAGACACACCCGCTGCGCCACTCACAGGATGAGAAGACTGCGAGCCAATCCCCAACGTACCGGCAGCTGTACCGGCGTCGATTTTCCTGGTACCGATAGGTGCTGCAGTAAATAGTTGCAACTCAATCTGCTGCTTCTCGTCCAGCGCGTCGCTTGTCGTCTTGCGGTCGAAACTTGCGAGGTTGATGGTCACGCCCAGCGCCTTCAAGTCGATTTCCAGCGTCGGGTACTGCGGCGCCACGGAGCCTGCTAGTGACTTTGATACGCCGAGTGGCGCCGTGTCCGCGTTCTTGTCCGTCTCTTCCTTGGTCGTTGACGTGTCGGTTGTGGACGCCACTTCGTTCGCTTGTCTTAGCGATGCCCTTGAAATACACAGCTTGTATTTGTACGGATCCAACGCGCCGAGAATGCCGATAGTCCTCATCGCCTCACGTCGTAGAGACCACGGACTGCCCACGTTGTGATGTAAGAGACTGAGAAAGATCTCCAACAACTTGGGAGACGCTAGATACGGACGCACCACGCAGCCTGTACTACCCGCCAGTTGACCTAAAGTCTGCAACGCCACTTGACGCTTCTCAATAGACGAGTGATCTTGGAGTGTGTGGATGATAAGCGGGAAGAGATAGCGTTCGTATGCAGCGATCTGCGTACGCGACACCAGCGCCAGCTCCCCAAGAGTGACTAAAACTGCCATCGTCAACGGAGCATTGCCGCGCACGAGAATCGGTAGAAGCACCTCGAGGATACGCACGACGTACGGGTCGACCAAGTGCTGAGCTCCACGAATAAGGTGGCCCAGAAGTCGGGTGCTGTCCTCGCGCATGCGTAGATCAAACGTGTGCTGCAGTTCTGTGACCAATTGAATTATCACACGACGCAACGATGGCATCACGAACGCAGGGTTACGAGGTGCTAGCCGTTCCAATAATTGCATGGCACGTTCGCGGATAATCGCGCTCTCGTCGTTCAACAAGAGGAAGACCAGTTTCAAATGTGTCTCCTGACTCAACAGCTCATCGAAACGAGCGTCCAAGGACTCCACAACGCTCCTGCGTACGGCCACATCCATATCCGAGATACCCACTTGAAGCAGCTGTGTAAGCACGAGATCAATCACTCGTCCACTTGGTCCTCGCTTCTTGACGTGTCGCCACGAAGACATGAGCGCGGTATCCGAAGATTCAGGTGAAGGCAGCAGCAGTTTACTGCACGTGATCACTGCCTGTTTGCGAATACGTGCGTCCGCGTTCTTCAGATACAGCGCAACGCAGTCGCGTACAAATGGCAGGAGACAGAAGCTGCCACTGAAATCGAAGCAGCTCAACGTACGTAAAGACAACAAGATCGTATCAATCTCGTCGCCCGTCTCGCCCTTGATCATCAACGAGCCACTGCCAGTGGACGGATCATCCTCAGCACTGGAGAAGCCTCGCTTCATCGACGAAAACAGAGCCTGGACGGCCGTCTGCTTAGCGGGAGGAGCGTCAGTGGCAGTGTCGTAGTATGACGCATCCAGAGTCAACTCGCTGCCGTCGCCGCCGGTAGAACTGCCAGCCCCGCCACTACTCCCAGGTGGATACACCGCTCCACCGCTACCTAGCGAGAATGGAGTGCCACGCAAGATCCCCGAGATCTCGTTTAGCAATCGCTCTTGAACATACGGGAGCGCACTTGGCACACTAGCGACAACCTCAGCAAGAGAATCAATCAGCTCGTCGCTAAGTCCACCAATCATCATCGTCTCCAGCACTCCGTCCTGGAACAAAAAGGGCTCGAATCGTGGTCCTAAAGCTCGCGACATATTGGCTACACAAGTGAGCGTTTGGACACAGAAGAGCTTGTTGCGAGCTCGTTTGCGCTTCGATCCCGTGTGTGGCGCTAGCGACTCCTTCACCAACTTGAGAATAGGCGGGAGATGCGGCAGCAGCGCATCACCTACAGCCAACGACAGTCTGCCCATGGCTAAGAACGCCACGCCACGCTCCGACGGCGGCGCTGAGTACTCCAAGATCCGCTTGGTCAAATGTGCCACACACACATCCAGATAGTATTGCACGAACGCTCCAGGACAAAACTCCGCCAGCTGCGGTAGCAGCCTCGAGACAGCACGACTCACTAGTCGCTCCTTGGCGTCTTTGTATCTCAGCACCGTATCGCACACTTCTCGGAATCTCGGCACCATGAATCGCCCCGTGTTGGCGATCAGCTCTCCGATCACGAGTAAAGATCCGTGCGCGCACTCCCAGGAGGCCAGCGATTGGCCATTACTCGAGGACGGAGAGCTCGATCCTGAAGCACTGGGACGCAGAGCCAAGCCTTCAAACACTTGGTCGTACACCTTGCAATACCACTGCACTCTGTGTCGGGTCTGTCTCTTGGTAATGAGCTGTAAACACGCAGCCAACGCACTGGTTGCGGCCTCTCTGATCTCGACCTTCTGGTCTCTCACAGCGCCCCAGATACTCTGGAAGAACGTGGTTAAGTTCACGTGGAACAGTGTGGGAGCCGCTTGAGCCAGTTCACGCAGCACGAAGCACGCCGCCAGTCTCCGTTGGCTTACCAGAGCCTCATTCCTGGCTGCGTGAGTGCCTGGTTGGCTCTCTTGAAGCCACTCGAAGGCTCGCTTGGCCTCGAAGTCCACAAAGCTTGCCACCAGCGTCCCACTGACACTGGAGGTTGCAAGCTTCCCCATGGCTGAGGAGGCCGCCAGCAGCGCTCTCCTGCTGGTTTGAGGCTGCTGTAAGAAGTACCTCACATAGTTGACGAAGCGGATGAATTGGTCCTCATTAGACAGGTCGATGAGGCGCTCGATGGCCAGCAGTGCACCCAATTGCGCGCTCTCGGAGGCACGTTGAAGCAGAGTGTAGAGCTGCGGGGTGAGCTGGCCCAGGGCCTTGGCGAAGCGCTCGGCCGACAACTGCCGGCTGAGCGACGCAACGGCTGCATACAGCTCCGAGACACGCGTTGCACGGGCGGTAGCGTCGTTGACGTCCAGACGCTGCACCAGAGAGGCGAGCAGCGCCTCGACGTGCTCCCGGTCTTGGAACTGCATCGGATTGTGCAGCTCACAAGCGGTACTGCGGACGGTGAAATGGACGAGAGGAGAGAAAAGAGTCTTGGCTTTCAGATGCAGCACTTGGTGTCAAGATTAAGCAGTGGGAAGACGCCGATCCCGAGCGTTGAAGGCGACGACTTCGCTCCCTGGACAGGAAGCGCGGTGTGAAATGCGTGCGGCCTCCGAAAGAAACCGGTACCGTTGAAAAGGAGATATAAAAGACAGTCGGAATACAAGGTCTTGCTATGAAGGAGACAAAACTGCGTAGTACTGTAGTACTAGTAAGACACAGGCTCTAGTAGACTATGGACGTAGAAGATAGCCAACGTTTTCAGATCGTATACGATATGCCAAAATGTGAGGATTCTTAAGATACAGCACGATGAAGTCTACAGATACTGCATCAGCAGTAATGAAAGAAAGCAGCGCTAGAGCTGCATTGAGTCCGCGTTTGCTCGTTTTTCCCACGTTGCTTCCTGAAATCACTCGCTATCCGCCTGCACCTGAACCTGTGTACATGTACTGTAGCCCCTCATAAAAAAGCAGCAGCGAGATCCAAGTCCAGCCTCGCAGCAGCAACAAATATAACAAGACCAATGCTGATGACGCAAGTTGAACGGGTCGTGGCGATGAAACTTGCATTAAGCTAGAACCGAGCCACACGGGAAGAAAGGACCTCGGACAAGACCCTCCTCGATAGAAATCAAAGAGACGCTTAAGCCGACTTGCTCTTCTTGAGCTTCTCCATGAGCACCTTCTTAACGATCTTCTGCTCCTCAATCAGGAAAGCGCGGACGATACGCTGACGCACGCACAGAGCGCAACGCGAGCCGCCGTAGGCGCGCGACACAGTGCGCTGCGTCTTGCTCACGTTCTTGTTCTCCTTCGACTGCAGGTGCTTGATGCCCTTAAGCGTCTGCTTGCAGTCACCGCACTTGGGGCCAGCAGCACGCTTCTTGATGTACTGGGCGACAAGCTTGCCACCTGACGATTAGCAATATCACAACATGGAAGGTGTCAGTCGATCTGACAGTTCTAGAGAGAGGTCCGACGCTGTTCCTGTATCCGTTTGGCGCCCTGTATTGCTGTTTTATGACGTACCAGGGGTCTTGACAGCCTTGATGGCGTTAGACTTGGTCGCGTACGAGTGACGGCGGCGGTAGGTGATACGCACGTTCTTGACCATGGTGGATGCCTTTCGGTCTGGTTCCTATCTCCCGTTCTGATAGAATGAACGCACAGTTGGTGGGCGCGCTGCCCACCAAGGCCCAACGCCAGTCGTTTTACAGGTGAGTGGGCCACACTAAATTCCAGACAGCTGATATATTTTCTCGAATAGAATCAAGCAGGTACTGGTGTGCGGTTGGTGTGGTAGCTAAGCAGCTGCAAACTTAAGCAGCCTTGAGCGATTATGACAGGTTCTTAGAAGTGCGCACTTGGGCTAAATTTGGCTTTTTTTTATTGGTCAAAACTGTGCGACTGAAGCGGTAGGCGCTCGCACTTATTGGTACCGCGTATCCTCAATCTTAGCCAAAAAAGGATCCTGCTACTGCCACCGAAAGCCTCAAATAGGAGTGCGCACGCCTGGCGCTACCGACTTCAGCCTCTTGCTACCGACAGGCGACCTGGCTTTTGTCATTGGCCGCGTCTGAGCACAAGCTCAAGGAGATGGAGTTCGTGGCGCAGGCTCTCCAGAGCGGAGAGGATGACGACGAACCAAGCTGCAGTGATCGCGGCTAGCGTATGGTCCAGTGTCACGCTAGCGCTGTTTGCAGATAGTGGGTGGTACGAAGTGAGCTTCGTCGCGCATCTGCAGTAAAGCTACAGAAGCAGAAGCCTACACTCAAGCAGTACAGTACCTGGTTATTTCTACTTGTCGTAGCTCGGGCTCTATAGTGGCCATTTACGGGGCCTTTCAGGAAAATGAAGGCAGGATGATTGGGCTACAGGTCGAACGTGGGGACTGGGCATTATAACTTCGGGGGAAACTGATGAAGGCCGATAAAGCCTCGGCGGCGCGGCGGCGGAGACCAAAGTGGCTCAGGACGCAGAGATGTGCTACAACGACGAAGTATTCACGCCCCACATGAGCTGTACGCGAGATCGAGGCTCTCCATATGGCGTACGAACTGACCAGGTGAGGTGAGAAATTACGATGTTGAAGTTGCCGCACCGGCTCACGGATGCGCCAGCTCATATCATTTCAAAACCATGACGGAAGACTTCGGCTGGGCTGTTGCCGCGTCGACCGCCGCGGAATGGGAGCGTGTGGCAGCCTCGCAGACACCCACACCTATCGGAGCTGCTTCCCGTTACTTGAAAGCCCAGCCTCCGTGCGTTGGAGAAGGGCGTGCTTCCGTCCCTCCAGACTTTGAGTACAGATTTGTCAACGTTCCAGGCAACGGCAATTGTTTGTAACACGCAGTGTGGATGGCTGCGTGGTTGCATGGAGTCGTTAGCCCATTTGGTGTTAACCCCTTTTTCTCTGTTTTCGCTTTTCGAATCATGGTCGCCAAGGTTGTTGCGGGGCTAATGAAGCGGGGGGTGATTCCAACCCGCTGCGGGAGGATCCTGCGGTGGTGGCAAACGACGTCGCGACACCAGGGCAATATCGACGACATAGTGGCTTAGAATGTATTCTAGCGATGTCATACATGTTGAGAAGGACTATAGTTACGAGTAGCCCCGCTCAATTTCAGAAAGTTTTTCGGCGTGGATGAGATTGGTCCTCCCATCGCCATATACAACTGCCAGTTCGGCAACGAGTTTGCAATAGTTGAACCTTCGGCTCGCAACCATTATGGTGCGATTAGCGTGCTGGACGTACAGAAACTCCAAACGTTAGTCGAAACCTACCAAGCTCCGCAACAACAAGCGCTGTGCTGTCTCGACGACGAGACCCGGACAAAAGGAAAAGGACAAGTCAAGGGAAAAGGACAAGTCGAGGACAGGAGCAGGAACAATGCAAAGAAGAACAAGACTGAAAAAAGAAGAAGGAAGTCATCAGTGAAGAGAGTGAAGATCGGATCGTCGCGTTCAGGCTGAGGGCGTTGCTACGTCCACATCGAGACGAGGATCGCACCGTAGGTCTGAACAAGTTTGGGCTGTACCTGTTGCGACTTGGCGCTCTCACTAAGGGCGCGAGTCGGGATAACACTTTAGAACTCACCGAGCTTGGCAAATGGTTTAAGATTCCACTTGCCGAGATCCGTGAGTGGGAAGGGAGCTACGCTTGGAAATTTGGCTACACATCGTGAGTAGTAAATATTTTTTATGGGTCGTTAAAGGGCTGACAATATCTGTTGACCAGTTGACCTTTAAAAAAAGAGCAAATGGAGCTAAATCGATGCTCAAGAGATCAGGGTTTCCAATGCACGCTATAGACCTCATGCTGGGGTTCATAATCTGTGGATTTCCAAAAGACAAGCATGTGCTACTTCAGCTGGAGCATGCTTTGAGAAATGATTTCTCAGGCGCCAAAATACGAATGCGTTTTCACGCTGAAGGGCACGGGCCCGAATTGCTGGCTGTTGATGAAGACCTCGACGATGATGGGAGGCCGAGGAGGACTCGAATGATTATGACAACGTGGACAGTGACAGCAGCGATGAGGAGAAGCATATACTTACGATTTCAGATATAATCGCGGAGAAGATCGCTCAAGAACGGATGCAGACTTTTTCTGACGTCGTTGATAAGGTCGCCGAGGAGCTCGCTCAAAAGCGATCCAAGCCTTTTGCAGGAGATCGGACAACCCTCTCAGACAAGTTTGAATTTCTGCGCAGCTTCGAGGGCGATGACAAGCTTTTCGACATCGTTCAAGCTTTTGCATCGAAAGAAGAGAGAAGACGAAGGGTGATTGCTGCAGCGAAACGAAGGAGGTCCAAGCTTATTGAAAAGCGAAACAAGAAAAGAGTGAGCGCGATTAAAAAAAAAGTGAGTGCTGCTGAACGGGTTGAGAAGGCCAGGCTCCGCGCTCAAAGAAATCGAGACAGGAAGAAGTTAGAGAACGTAGAAACTGGACTGAAAAAACAGCAAACGAGAATGTGATCGCTATAAGACAAATCTTTCGATCACATTCTCTGACGTGACGAAGCACATCCAAAGCGCACGACACGTTTGTGGCCGCAACAGACGAGATGTTTAATACTACTATACTACGTAGTAGTACTTTAACAACTGATATCACGAGGGAGCAAACTGGAGAAATGTACCCAGATGAAAAAAACTGTAGCATTCCCAAAGAAAGCGTTGACAAAACATTAAGGACGAGCTCTACCGGTACTTACGCCTCGTGCGCAGCGGTATAGTTGTAGTATACGGTGTTCTCATAGGTAGCCGAGCAGAATGGGAACTCAGCGTCGTTCTCCGTCGGTGCGAACAGGGCCTTGCCGGTCGTGTACGTGACGTAGCAGCCGAGAACAAAGCACACGATAGTCACCATGATTGCCGGGATCTTCTCGTACATGGGTAAGCGTCTCCAGGCCTTGATGAGATAGAAAACGATCGGCAGCAGGATGCAGTTCGTCGTGATACACGACGCACCCACGAAGTCGGCAAAGTCAGAGAAGTGATCTTTGAAAACGATCGCCAAGACCACGAGGATGACGATGATGATGACGCGGAGCGCGACGTACTTGATCGTGTTGAGACCGCCACGGTACTCAGCCATCTCCGCCTCGACATCGCCCTTGTGCTCGTTCTCGGCGTCAGCAACAGACACGTACGACATCTTGGAGCTGCGTCGAGGTTCTTCTTGAGTGATATTCGGTGTTACAACTTCAACGTAGCTGATGGGGTTCTCGAGATCGCTCTCCTTCTTCTTGTGCATACCCAGGAAAATACGCTCAGCAAGGTAGAAGGCCGGGTTCGCAATGACGGAGAAAGCGATGGTAATGTGAAGCTGCATGAAGAGGTAGGCCAACACGACGATGCCCCATCGAGGAGCGAAGCCCAAGTTAGTCATTCCAGTCTCGGGGTCTGGGTAGATGGTAAATAATAGATTACCAGAGATCTGGCACCCCACCGCTGAGTACGCAGTGCTCGCCAGAACCAGGAACAGGCACGAAATTATCCCAACCGTGACACCCACGACGCGGGGCATACGGGTTGGGTCACTGTGCTGGCGTTGCAGGTCCGGGATGACGATACCGGCACCGTAGGCAAGAGACAGGTTGCCAAAGACACCTGCTACTTGCGAGAACTTGAGCTCCGGGAACGGAACACTCGGGTGGCCGCGCATGCCGTGCATGACGACGCCGACACCGATGACATCAGCGATGATAGTGCCCAAGCAGCCTGCGAACGCAGCACCCGATCCCTCTTTCAGCGTCGGGACGAGACACACTGGAAGTACCGTCAGTGCCATTAGAATGGTCCAAGTAGATTGCTCAAAGGCGTCCGGGAAGAGACCGTCGAGCAGTGAGCCCCCGAGCACGAGGAACACGCACGGGATCAAAAGGCACGAACCCATTTGGGAGATGATGCAGAGCCAACGACCCCACTGACCCATTGCCCATTCTCCGAGGTCACCGAAAGTCTTGACAGACGTGGGGGCGAGCAGAATGACCTTGGACATGGCGACGGACGAGTAGATGTTGGCGAAGGCCATGAAGGCCATGGCTACAACAGCGATGGTTGGTCCAGCGCGGGCGAAGTTGCCAGGCATACCAAGCGTTCCAATGCCGTAGATGCAGCAGAAGAGGTTGAAGGACGTCTTGGCGTCCTCGGCGGTGAAGAACGGCTTTTTGGCCATGGTTGAGGGGCTTGGAAGATTGAGACTTGAGCGCCAGGAGATCAATTGTAAAATGAGCCCTAAGGAGGTCACAGCGCGAGTGATGCTAACCTCCGAGCATGATGACAGTCCCGACGTGGAGAGTGACCTGCTCCGGTAATTGGGCTTACCACGGTGGGAGCTCTGACAAAATCACCATGCGGTGGCCGTGTTGCAAATCAGTGAGGAGTCGGTTTGGGAAGGTTTCACCTCAGGTGCACACCTGGTTTCCAGGTCCTGGATCTGGATCTGCTGATAGAGGTGCTTGAACTGGCGCGTATCCAACCGTAAATGCGCTCGTAATACATGTACGAGTCGTACATGTACTTAAGTATGGCGTACTGCACGGCTTCCCTAATGGTTGCGCTGGACAAGATACATGTAACATGTACTGCATGAAGCTACAGTTAGAGTTGTCAAGTGAAATGTACAGCATCATTCAATTGGAACGTTATTTTTATTTTTAGTGTCCGCTCTCAGCTCATCAAAAGCAACATCGCCTTTGATCCGCATCTCTGCGGGGTAATTTCAGCAGCTGCAGCACACATCGGCAGAAGAGTTCAACGGGCTCCAATTGCCGTGAGGTAACTTACCACTGGTAAGTATCCAATACGGATAGCTTGATCAGGTCGACGATATTAAAGCGACAGAACTACTTTTCAAGCTCAGCCGTTTTCGACATAGAGATCCCATGTGACTACAGTATCCTCACCCCGACTCACATGCAAGTCTGACTTCGCGATACATGTATACGGTTTCTGTGCATCTCCCAAATTAGGGAGAGTGCAGCCTTTGCGTCAAGGTCGATTGCAACCGGATACTTTCAGAGCGCGATTAATTCTTTTTAATCCCGCCAACTTCAACTTGCTAAGACTCAGTATTTTGTAGCTCAGATGGCCACCGCACGCTGCAACGCAGTATATCTTGCGTGTTCCGCGTTGGTGACCGTTAAAGCTCTTCCATTGAAGCTTGTTGGTGACCGTACATGTCGCCGAGCAAGTGCCAAGTGAACGTGTGCGTTCCACCGACACGCTGAATCGAGCTTTGCGTTCCTTGCCAACTTTATCACCGTCGCATGCTCGAGATCCGTGTTTGCCTTCTCTTCGGATCCGAGTCACACACTGAGTAGGCAGAGTCAATAGACTTTGAAGCCGAATCAGAGGGAGAAGAAGTGGTCGATGCAATGGTACACTGTATTACCAATGGTAAGGGTACCAATGCGATTCCGCCGTTGGAAAGTCGCCTTGATCGCCTCGTTTAGAGGACGATGCGGATCTTTACAAAAACGGTTCTGCAGGTGATAATACGTAAGTGTTTGTCTTGTACCTTTTCGGCAAGTCCCTGGCAAATTCTGCATCGCTATCTCGAGAAGCCTGAGCCAACCCCGCAAGCTGTGTGATGGGGTTGCCTTCGTCGCTACTACGATGTCGGTACCAGCCCACGATGGCCGGGTCGTCGTCATTCATGAACCACCCGTTACACCCGACTGACACACGCGAGCGATTTCTTGTGTTTTTCAAGGTGCTTGGTGGGGTAAAGTCGCTCACGAACGCCGATGGTGGTGTGCTAGGAGTATAAGACGGGTATCCAGAAGACACCGATGGTGCTTTACGTTTGAGCCCCATCGCGCTATTGCCGCTAAGTGCGAGCTTTAAACTCCTCCGTCCATGTCGAGATCGTAGCTGAAGGGTTGTAGGAGCCGTACGCGTGAGTTCAAGGCCGAGAGGTGGCGGGCAGGCTACTGGGCTGGTACACGTAAAGCCGAATCCACTATCAAAACCGGTAGCTTGGGCACCTCCCGAACGTGTATCAATATAGTGTTTCTCATTGCGAGTCGTGGCGTTGGGGTCGATTGCATCGTGCTCGATGCTGCATCCACAGAATAGACCAAATCTTGGTCCGTCGTGGTTCTGATGTGACATTAGGAACTGGTGACGACGTTTGCCAGCATTCGCTTGAGGTGTGTTGGGCCTCCTTCGTGCTTTGCTGCTACCTCTCCGGCTTCGTGTATTGACCTTATTTTCTCTCCATGTGGAATCCCGACCGTTGGAATTGAGGCATTTCAGTTGAGATTTTGATCCGGATTCTGTAGAGCTCTTGCGACTGCCACTTGGAAGCGCGCCTGTGTCTGCGAAACCTCGTTTGCTACTAATTTGAGCAATCGAACGTCGCCCGATGAGGTTTTTGATACTGCGCTCTTCACCCGTGCCAGCAAAGCTGCGAGGGGTTGCTGCTCTAACCGGTCGACGTTGTCGTCCAATTCGACGGACATAGGCCAACGCTCGGTATCGGAGTTTTACATGACTAGGTCGTGACTCCGTATCCGTCATTCGCTGGGCTTTGCCTTACACTGGCCCTGTCGCGTTTGAGATGCTTTCGATCGGCTGAGTAAGAGCGGAAATGAAGTGTCTGAACGTCCTTTGGTCTCTTCTTGACTTTGGAAGATCGGTCCAGCTAGGAGATCGCACTTGTCTTGGTTGCCCTCGAAATTATAGTCACAATTCGTTCGTCCTTCCTCCTCGTGTTTTGTCGTCTACATGAACGCTACTCACACATATTGGCCTTTCTTGTAGAATTTCACGAAGTGTTCGTTAGTGATCAGTAACTGACAACAAGAAGAAATCAACATAGTCCCTCTTTTTAAATTATTCCTTGAAATTCTGAAATGAAAATAATTACAAGAAAAAGCAACAAAGCGATTTATTTTCATTTACGGATAATGCCAATTTGTAAACGGTACACAATTCCGGTATTATACCTTCAGCTACCAAAAGGAACTCAAATTGAACCGGTGCACTCATTCTAGTCCTACACAGACTCTTCGCTGTCCAAATCGTAAACTCATCGAAACAGTCCTCACTGAGGGCACCTCCGCTGTCGCTCACGTCATCAGCATTTTCTATAATGCGCTCCTTCCACTTTGAGCAAAAGAGCTCGCCGTAAACGTTGTGTCGCGCCACATGCCAATCTCCAAATCTTGGAGAAACCCAGCTGCTACCACCGAGCGCTCAACGACGTCATCTGGAACATCGCGCCAAGCGACGTTCACCCACTTCGCCACGATGGTGGCTTTGGATTTCCTCCGCGAGTGAAGAGCACAGTGTGGTGTAGTAGAACACACAAATATCGTCAGATGTGGATTCCTTACACAAACCACAACGAATCGCCGAGTTAGGTCGGCGGTTGGTATGGCCTGCGCAGAGGGTGGTCCCCTCGCGGTCCGGCCCTTCCGGGACAGACGAGTGGCTCGCTTCCACCCGGTTTCGAATAACCAAGTCAGATCACTTCCGAGGCTCCGCCGAGTTTGGTTCGGCTGAGCTCGTTCACAACCCTGTGCCCTCCACCAAAGGATGGACGACGGCGCGCGAGCGCTTTTACAGGTCACCGAGCGCAGAGGCAGCTCAGCTAGAAGTGTTACGGCACCCGGGCTATCCGACGTACCGGCCTGCTGAGTATGCGGGACTTTCTTTCGCGCGTAGCGAGACTTTGTCCTACCCGGACCGACCTAATCTCTTAGCGCTACCAGTCAATACCCTACAAGCTATGCCTCTCGAGTATTGACGGCAGGCATAATCCAGCCCTATGCAGGGACTTACCGGAAAAGTGTACACGTGTCTTGGACTAGGAAAATTCTGCTCTGTTATCTTCTGGGAGCCCTTTCGGCTTCCCCTATTTAATCCTATGCTTCTCATACAAATATCTAATGAGATGTAGTCGTTTCGGATCTCTACCGACCCTTCAGCTGAGTTCCGGCGACCGTTGAGCTCAGCGGCTATCCGAATAGCATATCCGGACAGATCGCCGAGTACTTACCGTGATCCTTTGTTCCTAAGCTCTGGGTTATCAGACCGAGCCGATTCTTGATCGAAAGTAGGTTGGCGTATGGTCGAATCTGGAAATCCCTACACCACAACTGCCCCGGTTATGATACGAGCCGAGCTGGTGAGTGTCTTAATCCTTCATTTGGTTCTGCCACCATTGGTCCGTACTCGGCTGATGACGTCTTGCGGCTCTCCACCACCTTCTTCGGTACGTTCGTTGCTTCCACTGTCACTCACTTGCAGCTCCTTACTCCTCGCATGCTACTCCAGCACAACTCGCGGCGCCACCATTCTCCTCCAACTCCTCGTTGAGGTGAAGGCGCGCCAGCTGAGTCGATTCCTGCATACGCTCAGGGTGCTCCACCGCGGGCGAATCGTCAAGGTATTCCCATCTTCGCTGGGTCTTCAATCGGTGAGCTCGGCTCGGATGACGAGAGTGCGTCTGATGACGACTCGGCGGACGACGGGTTGGGTTCTCCCAATCTCCGAGGCGCGTCTCCGAGTATGTCTCTGTTCGGCACTACACCCCCCCCGTGGAACGGATCCGCCTCAACCCACTTCAGCCGAGTCGGGTTCTGAGGCACCGGTTCTTCTTCCACCTGGTTCGGCGTCAGTCTCTTTGGCTAGCTTGGCGATGATACTTCTTGTCACGGCTGCGGATGTTGCATCTCCTTCCGCAGTTTCCCAAGGGGCGACGTCTGCTACGACGCCACGCCTCCAGTCGTCGAGTCCGCTGAGCTCTTCCCAGTTGTCTCCGTCGGGTTCAACTCACTTGGAGTCCGGATCGCCAACTTTTTTATTTTCTTATTTTGACTGGGCGTCCCGTAGGTATCGTTCAGGACTTCATTTCGTAACTATTCAGTATATATTTCGACACAGTAGCATTCCATCTCAACTCGGCCTGTGTCGTCCGCTGAGTTGGTGTAACATTTGGTGCAATAGCTGTTAATCCTCATCTGCAACTTGCACCATTTGCAGACGATTTTCACGCTTTTTCTGTCGTAGATAGTCAAACAGGAGACCTCCACATGACAAATTCGACAGTGGTTCCCAAGTAGGCTCATCGTAGCCGACCCACTTAACTTTAAACTTCCGTTGTGATCGTGACGTACTCGTGGATAATGGTAGCTCATCATCGAGAATTGCTTCGACTTCATACTGGTTCGTACTTGTGTCTGGCTCCCAGCTGTCCTCAGGCAGTAATTCTTCGTCAAAGTCAAATCGCTGACTTTCTTCGAGGTCGGCGATTAGCCTCGTCTTTGGTCTTCCGCCGAGTTCGGTGACTGCCTTCAGCCGTGATACATGGACCACTGGGTAGAACCTATATCCACTCTTGTCGGGTAACTCCAATTCATAGGCGAATTCTTCCACCTTCTTCTTCACCCTGAATGGTCCATGCCATCGGTGGGCTAACTTCTTGGTCAGGCCCGACTTGACTCGTTCCATATACAACCAGACTTGATCTCCTTCCTTGAACAAGGATTTGGTGGATTCATCGCCTGGTTCTGCAACCCCATCTTTGTCCTCTGCTATGTTGGGAATGGATCTTTTCTCCTTCTTGCTCAACGCTTCGTTGTGCTCTCGAGCTCGTCGTGCTTTCTCTCGCACTTGGAACTCAGCTGCTAATCGAAGGGCAACTTCTCGTTGTCTGTTCGCTTCTCGGCGCCATTCGACTGCGTCCGTCGAGTTGACTGGGCGTCCCTGTCCTCGTCGTATTGAACTTGTCATAGCCTTGAGTGTAGACTTAGCGTCCCAACCATGTACCAGATAGAAAGGGGTTTCTCGCCGAGTCGAATCTCTTGAGTTGTTGATAGCGTGTACCATCTTCTCGGCGATGTCATCCCAGTCGGCTTGAAGTGGGTCTCCCACGTAGACCCGTATAGTCTGAACCATTGTCTTGACTGACCTCTCTTGTTGACCGTTAGCTTGTGGTCGGTAACTCAGCGTAGCTCTTGATCTCGACTGCATCATCTCGGAGAACGTTTGGAATACTTCACTCATAACCTTGGATCTCGGTCGTGCCGTATCAGAGACGGGCGCCCCGAACTGCCTGAAGACGCATTCTTCAAATTCCTTGGCTACTTCGAGTGCCCCGGTGTCATTCATAGCCTTAGCGATAACGAATCTCGTGAAGTTGGTCCTGGGAACAGCCAGCAGTGCCGGTATTGCGCCGCTGAGTTCGAGGAAGGGAAATCACGAAATCCATTGACACGACTTGGGATGGATGGGCTGACACCACATTTTCCGGGCGAGTAACCTCTCAGCTGTGGGCTTGCTCCTTACTGGAATAGCAGTCCTCGCAGGCCCTAACATGTTTCACCACGTCGGCGTACAGACCAATCCAGTAGTAGTCGGCCTTGACTCGGTGATAAGTTCTGACGATGCCTTGATGCCCTCCTTCGATCGAGTTGTGACAGTTATGAAGTATCTCGTCGACCATAGTTGACGGAATCACCAATCTCAATGAGAGGTTCGGTTCGCCGAGTTCGCCCAGTCGGCGAGCTTCATCTCGGCGGTATAACAGGCCGTCTTCGCTGAGTACAAAGACTTCTGCGACTTTGCCGGCATTCTGAGCTCGACGGTGTGTAAGGTCCTCAAGTTCACCTCTCAGGTACGCCTTCAGATCGGCCCACCTGAGTTCTTCATCTTGTGCCTTCGCGATTCGTCGTCTCCGCTTAGTCAGTACTGTCACTGGACCAATGTCGGTGGTATTCTGAGCTGTCTGGGCTGACTCCATCTGCGACCTTGTTTCGACATTCGGGGTCGTGTGGTTAGTCCGCCGAGTCGACGCCCTGCTGACTTGTTCGAATTCATCTCCAGTGCTTTCAAACGCCGATTCTCCAGGATTTGTTGATAAGGCTTCGTGATCCTGACTTCCTCCTCTTGCTCTAGCCGAGTCTTCATCCAGCTCGTCCTCAAAGTGAACTCAGCGTACTCGGCTACGAGTGACTGCCGTGACAATCGGGGTTTCCGCTGGGTTGTCTGTGGCGTACAGTTCTTCGGCTACTCGGTTAATCATTCTCAGTTCTGCTTCCCTATCCGTCCCGAGAATTACTCGTCCAGCTTTAGCTTCAAGTGCTTCTGTAGGGAGAGAATCAGCCGCTGCGTTATAGTGTCGCGCTATGTATCGATACCGGACCGAGTTGAGTTGCTTCGTGAGATCCTTGTGTCGAGCTAGCTCCACTTGCAACGTTTCCTTCTTGCATGCTATCACCCCCATAGATTGCTGGATTGCAAGCCGGGAGTCACCCACGATAATCAGATCGGTTATCCCTCGGTCAATCGCCGCCAAGACTCCATTGTTCATGCCGGTGTACTCGGCGATGTTGACTGTGGTGGACGACAGGTACGCACTCGCAGCGATCTCAATGTCTTATATACGCACGCACCACAGTATCCACGAACATCTTCCATGTGGTGCGTTTTTAGCTATCTTTGTTGAATAATCAAATGCCAGCCTATAACCCCCAAATTCGAAAGGGACAACAAGGTATAGCGAGCTCATTTTG